GAAGTAGGCTCTAGAACGTGGAATGGGATCCCCACGCTCCGAGCTCGACACCTGGACTCCCCAGCTCCCAGGCTACAAAGCCTGCAGCAGGCATGGATTTTCTGAGCAATAACCACCCAGTGCCCTGATTCTCACTAGAAAACAGTCCTCTGAAAAACAATGCTGTTTCCTACTGTGGTCCCAGAAAAACATTTCTGTCAAAAAATAAATCCTATGCACTCTCTAACTCCAAGCCATAGGTCCTCACTTAAAAAAAAAAAAAAAAAGTTATGTAACATCTTCACTTCAAGAGCTTAACTACTTGATGTTTTTTATTCTGGGTTTAATTGCAATCACCCTTCAATTGTACCCCTCCTGCCCTCTGAGTAAATGAAAGCACCTGAGCCACCCATCAACAGCAAGATGAGAAACAAGAGGGAGAAAGATCCAGGTGTTGAGACAGTAAGACCCATGTTGAATCTTAGTGCACCGTGTGTGTCAGGGACTCTGGGGACCATGCCCTTATATCTAACCTCAGAACAAATCCTACAAGGGAGTTATTCTTCCCCTTTTACAGATGAAGAAAATGAATCTTAGTTTGGCTAAGTGACTTGCCTATGACATGTGACTAGTGACTTTACAGGAGAGGTAAAGTGCCATGCCTAAGCATAAGACATATCTTCCTTGGCTGAATAATCCCAAACTTCTGTCTTCAACAGCAGCAACAACTTCATTCTATTTCTATGTGAAACTTCCTGTAAACGTGACTTTTAATAATGTACCAGTTGTAACAGAATTCGATTACGAAAGTAATAATAATTTGTAGGTTTTAGGAATTAGTCTAAAAGAATTTTATGTGAGGAATATTTTATAATGTAGACTAATTGTCTATCAATAGAGCCAAGAGGGTTATAGTCAACTAGCTATATATGGCAACAGCATCAGGAAAAAAAAAGATTCAAGTGTTCAACTGGTAAAACGGTAGGTCAGGGCTTCCCTGGTGGTGCAGTGGTTGAGAGTCCGCCTGCCGAAGCAGGGGACACGGGTTCGTGCCCCGGTCCGGGAAGATCCCACATGCCGTGGAGCAGCTGGGCCCGTGAGCCATGGCCGCTGAGCCTGCGCGTCCGGAGCCTGTGCTCTGCAACGGGAGAGGCCACAACAGTGAGAGGCCCGCGTACCACAAAAAAAACAGAAAAACAAACAACACAGTAGGTCAGTTACTATCCACTGGGCATCCTTTAGGGAAACTAAAAGACATTTTAAACTCTGACACATAAGAAGGAGGAGGAGAATGGAGAGGGGAAGGTGCAGGATAGGAGAGGAGGAGAAGAAGTACTTATTAGGTATCAGGCACTGCCCTAAGCACGCTGTATACATTACTCACTGGATCTTAACAACACCCATATGACGTATGTACTATTATCATCAATTCCATTTACATAGAGGGAATCTCAGACAGAGAGAGGTTAGGTAACTTGCTCAGAGTAATGCTGCCAGAGCCTTCACTCTTACCCACTCCACTCTGCTGCCTTCCCAGCAACTCCTCTATCTCAGCATCTAGTAGAAGAAACAAGTCCATGGAACATTATGATAAAAGCTCCTCTGTAGAAACATCCCTGATGCCTGAAATTCTATTCGTAGTTTCATTTCTTTGGATTAAGGCATTGTCTCCTCTTAAAATTAAATACAAATTTAATCTGAAAAACAAGGAACCACTGTTTGTCACGAAACTTTAGGGTATCCCCTCTCTCTTCGGGTTTGAGAAATCCTCTAAGGAGGCCATGCCCCACCCCATCCCTGTAGTGAGCAACTACAGGAGAACCACCGCTGCAGTGAGATACTACAAGGACGAGAGTGTGTAGCCACCCTTGGGTCAATCAGGAATAAAAATTAAAATTAGATATATTTTCTACAGCTTTAAATTGAGAATATGACGACAGAATATAAAATTGGTTAAAGGTGATTATTTTTTTAACATCTTTATTGGAGTATAATTGCTTTACAGTGTTGTGTTAGTTTCTACTCTATAACAAAATGAATCAGCTATATGCATACATATATCCCCATATCCCCTCCCTCTTGCATCTCTTTTATAGTTTCAAAAAGAAAAAAAAATCCCTTGTGTGCAGATAGGTAGAGGTTTATTTTGTACCCCTCAAATGATATGATGTAGACCAGCACATGTGCTTATGTGAGCATCAAAGAAGCACTGAGAAAGTCCATGTTGAGTTAGCAAAGCCCCAGGTCAGGGAACTCAGTTCCTCCTTGAAGAGATCTTTCATTCAGCATAATCCTCCCTTCCACCAGGCCCTAACTGTATAGAACAGTGTTAAGAAAACCATGTTAAGCTGAAGGAGAAGATGACTAAAAAGTCAAATAGACTATTTAAAATTCACTTTCAATGAGTAGAATAAATAAGGGATATGGAGATTGTTCTACTTCAAGTTTGTATTCCTGTGACGATGGAGAGGGTAGATTAGTTCTACCTTCATATGAGAGAGTAATCAGAGAGACTTCATATTACTTACCTTATTTTTTTTTCACCAAGCACCTCAGGAGAGTAAAGTTAGATTTTTTAATTTGCTTTAAATCAGCAGTCGCAGATTATAATGAGTCTTGTCAAAAAGTAGTGTTCTCCGAGAAGGACCAAGTTTTACCCCTTGTCTACCTCATTCTTCCTGCCAAATTTGTGTCTTCCACCAGATTAGAAGTGCCACAAGAACAAACACCATATGTCTTCTTTTTCCCTGTAATGCTATTGTGCCTTGCACAATGCCTGGCACACAGTAGGTGTTCTATAAATATGTTTAATGATTTAATGCTCCATCGCTATGGTTTTGCAAGAATCATGAGGCCGAAGAGCCATATTAGAAACCACATTCAAATAGGAAAGAAGGGGAAAATTCTTCTCTTCCTTTGCATGCAATACTGATGGATGTAGGTTACTAATAGGTTACCAAGAGGGAAGAGCCTTAGAGTGGAGCAGTGGGGAGAGAAGGAAAAAGATAAGGCTAAGAGTAAGCTTTTTTTTTTTTTTTTTTTTTTTGCGGTACGCAGGCCTCTCACCGCTGCGGCCTCTCCCGTTGTGGAGTGCAGGCTCAGTGACCATGGCTCACGGGCCCAGCCGCTTCGCAGCATGCGGGATCCTCCCGGACCGGGGCACGAACCTGCGTCCCCTGCATCAGCAGGCGGACTCCCAACCACTGTGCCACCAGGGAAGCCCAGCTTTTTTTTTTTTTTTTAAGGTCTTTTATTGAGCTCAAAGCAAAACACAAAACTTCAAAACCTAATTTTTCTCATATCTCTAAAGTACGAAAAATTTGAGCACATCTTAGAGTTAGGAAAACTTAAGTATCCAACTACAGATTCACTTCACAAATACATGGCATTGTGTGAATAGAGATGAAGAATCAGACCCCCCATTTTCTAGGACTCTGCCCACATCACCCAAGGTCCCCTGATCTGTGTTTTCTCAACTCAGTCAGGTTGTTATGTTTATCCCATGCTTTGTCTCCTTAGATAAACACATGCTTTCTGCATGTTAATCTGATAATTATGGAATTCATTGTCAACTCAGAGAATCTAAACAGGTTAATTCAGGCAAATGTCCAAAGCCAGTATGAGCAGGAAAAGATATATGGACCCCATTTAGAAATGTTATACAAAATAAATTTTGCTATTCCCCAAGAGCTTAAGGCAAACAATATTGTAACCTATAAGTGGATTCTTGAAATAGGGTAGATTATCCCAGTTTTTAAAGTCTAACAGATATTAAAATTTATTCAAGAAACTATATTTTATAAGTCATGTTTCTTTCTTTGATTTCATAGTTTCTGTGGCTCCAAAGGGCTGTTGTGATAAATAGCGAATCTCATTTTTTCTCTTTGTTTCTCCCTGGTTCTCACTGTCTGGCTGAACACTAGTCATACTCCTGGTTCACACATTATGTATACCTCACTCAATGTGCGCATAAGAGATTGAGATGAGAGTGTGATAAGCAGGTGTTTATTTTATAACAGAATCATGGAAAGCGAGAGCTAGAAGGGTTCTTGGAGATCAACCAGTGCAACCTCTCTCTTTTTTTACTTAAAGAACCTTAAGTTCAATGAGGTGTTGAAATGCGCCCTTTGTCCCTGATTACGCGTTTGGTAAGAGATCTATTTTCAAATATTTGTGTCTCAGAGAGGTCTTATTCCTCAAACTTGATGATCATTGGGCGTAAAAGATTGCCTTACAAGTTTTAATATACTTCACATGCATTATGCTTCTGGGAACTCTGGAGCTAAAAATAAAATAACATCTCCCCAAAACTTATTTGGTTCTGGAGTTAGCAGTAGCAGGGGGTTGGAGAAGTATTCTCTGGTAGCTGGAATTCTAAGTGACATGTGTACCCGCTGCTGAGTTCACACCTGGTCAGGCCCACCCGCTCCCCTCTTGGGAGCTTTCCTGCTCCCCTGACACCGGGTGCTCTGCCTAGCCATGGAAAAATAGTGCTGAGGGTGGTAGAATGTTGGCTTTGTCTCCCATCAGGAAACCAAATGAGAACCAGCAGAAAGAGTGTATCAAATTTATCAGAGGTAGTGATTTATTATATGGAATCCCCAATTCCTTAGATGTCACCAAATAGTGGAGCTATTTTCAGTATTTCAAAAAGACTATTGGAAGTCAAACAGTGATCCACAACAATGCTACACAGACTATAACATCAGGTTTCTTTCCTTTGGCTTGAATTATATATTACCACCCAATAGGATTATGCCAGGCTTATCAGGAGCTCTGAATAGCGGTTAAATATATCTTAGGTTGCTAAAAATGAAGGAATCATTACTTAATAGATGAAAATCAGGTCCCTTGGAGGACAAGACAAAATGATAAAAGGGATTTTTGTGAGTATAAAAAAAGGTTTGGAAGTACTCATTTTCAACCAAAGAAAACTTTATACCAAAGGACTCTCAAAAAGATCTAAGACAAATCCCCTTCCCCTAGTCTAGCCCTCCCCCGGTTCCGTCATAATAACTCACTGGGCAGGGCAGGGAGGTCTTCCTGTAACTGGAGTTCTGTGATCCATGGCGGTCCCGGAGTCCTCTCTCATCCTCCTCTATCCAGCTGTGACCCCAGAAGCTGCTCATCCATTTGGCAAAAGACACATCATCGTCGTCATCATCTTTGTGCTCCATGTAAAGGTGATTCAAAATATCGAAGGCCTGTTCCTAAATCTGGCAGAGAGAAATATTACCCAACAGGGCTGACTTGATGAAACCCAGGATCTCCCTCAAAAGACAAAACGAAACCGATGTTTTCAAATGGTCTCTGATAATGGAATCCTTAAAGGAGAAAGATTTACTAAACAACCACTTCACCATCAGGCAGCCTCTGGTAATGTCTATTTATAAATTGTGCAGCCCACATTCCCCTCCCCTCTCCCTGTCTTCTTAAATTGAGATGCTTTTTAATCCTTCCATTGCTAGGGCTTGTGCCTCGCAGCCTAAGGGTGGGAAGCACAGCCCACTGCCTGGTTTTCCCTGTGTTTTGTTGCTGATGGCATGTGATGTGATGGCATCTCCAGCTGTTAATGGTGTTGGAGCATGACCTTCATAACACGCCTGTCACCTCCAGGCCAGCTCTGAAATGGGGCCACTTACAAGGGACAGACTCAGCCTGCAAGATAGACAGCTATGGTGTGTCATATCTAGAGCCAGATATTCTCCTAATGAATAAATTCGATATTGATATAAAATCTAGCTCCTGGGACAAAAGAAACAGGAGGAATTTTTTTTGGTGGGGTGATATATTATTTTTATATGTACAAAGGTAAATAATGTACATGTACAATGTACAAATCTTAAGTGTATAGTTTGATGAAGTTTTACATACATATACCCTTCTAATGACCACAACTATGCAGGTAAAGACATAGACTCTTTCCAGTACCCCAGCAGTCTCCCTCTTTCCCCCTTCCAACCTAACCTCCCTCCAAAAGGTTAAGACTTCTGACCTCTGTCACTGTAGATTAATTTTGCCTCTTTTTGAACTTTCTTTCAATGGAATTATATAGTATGTATTATTTTGTGTCACTTAACATTATGTTAGTGAGATTTATCCATGCTTTTATAGTAACAGTAGTTCATGCTGTATAGTATTGCATAGTATGATTATCCAACCTTTAAAAATTCAGTCTAATATTGATGGTCATTTCGGGCTATCACTTGGGTTGTTTACAGTTGGGACTATTAGAAATAAAGCTTCTATGAGCATTAGAGTCCCTGTCTTTTAGTGTTTTTTTTTTTCCAAGGTAAGGAGAATATTACATTTATTGAGCCCCTTACTTTGCACCAGATATGGAGTCAAGTATTTTACGTATGCTATTTTCATTATTAACAAGCCTGTGTCTAGGATATTTTCGTCATATTTTATTGATGAGGAACTTGAGATTCAAATAGATCATTTCCCCAAGGTGAAATTACAACTAAGCTTCACAGCCACATTTGAGCAAGGAGTATAACAAAGTCCGGGTTCTCTCCACCATTCTGCCAGTATTCCAAGAAACTTTTGATAAATCTCGCTTTTTTTTTTTCTGAGTGCTTCAAACAAAATGAATTTTATTTATCTTCCATGAAACAATTCAGATATAAACGGCGAGTCCTCAAAAACATCCAGGACACAGACTCCTCATATCTTTTCATTTGGCATCCCCTGCAGTGTTGTCTGGCCAGATGGTCAAAACTGAGTCACCAGCAATTTAGCGTTCCAGCCAGCAAGAATGGGGAAAGATAGAAAGTAGAGGGCAAGCAACTTCCTTTTAAAGGAGCAACACTCAGTTTTGCTCACATCAATTTTGCTCACATTCTACTGGCAAAAAAATCATTCACACAGCTGCAACCGGTTATAAAGAAGCTAGAAAATGTAGTGTTTACCTGGAAAGCTATGTACCTCACTAAAATTCAGAGATTCTCTTACTAAAAGGAAAAAGAGAATGGATACAGGGGACAATTACAGCCTCTACCAGAGGCAGTGTATCCTGAAGTGTGTTAATTGAATTGTCTAGTTCCATGAATTGTCCAAAAAACAAGTTCTTTATAGCTGTACTTATCAGAGCCTTTAATGCACTAATGGTTAAACTCTATGAGGGAGGAATAGCTTTGCTACATTACCTAGATTTATTTGACCATGGGATCCATTTTTCAAAGGTCAACTCTTAGAGCTAATATGTGGTGGAATACATTTTGGGAAACACTACTCTGGAATACTACTCTCTCTTTTTTTTTAATAGATATTTACTGGATTATAATTGCTTCACAGTACAATTAGTTTCTGTTGTACAAAAAAGTGAATCAGCCATATGCATACATATATCCCTACATCCCCTCCCTCTTGAGCCTCCTTCCCACCCTCCCTATCCCACCCCTCTAGGTGGTCACAAAGCACCGAGCTGATCTCCCTGTGCTATGCTGTTGCTTCCCATTAGCTAACTATTTTAAATTTGGTAGTGTATATATGTCCATGCTACTCTCACTTTGCCCCAGCTTCCCCCTGACCACCGTGTCAAGTCCACTCTCTAAGCCTGTGTCTTTATTCCTGCCCTGCAATTAGGTTCATCAGTACCTTTTCTTTTTTTTAGATTCCATATATATGTGTTAGCATACGGTATTTGTTTTTCTCTTTCTGACTTACTTCACTCTGAATGATAGACTCTAGTTCCATCCACCTCACTACAGATAACTCAATTTCATTTCTTTTTATGGCTGAGTACTTGCCATTGTATATATGTGCCACATCTTCTTTATCCATTCATCTGTCGATGGACATTTAGGTTGGTTCCATGTCCTGGCTATTGTAAATAGTACTGCAATGAACATTGTAGTGAATGTCTCTTTTTGAATTATGGTTTTCTCTCAGGGTATATGCCAAGTAGTGGGATTGCTGGGTCATATGGTAGTTCTATTTTTACTCTTTTAAGGAACCTCCATACTGTTCTCCATAGTGGTTGTATCAATTTACACTCCCACCAAAAGCGCAGGAGTGTTCCCTTTTCACCATACCCTTTCCAGCATTTATTGTGTCTAGATTTTTTGATAATGGCCATTCTGACCAGTGCGACGTGATATCTCATTATAGATTTGATTTGCATTTCTCTAATAATTAGTGATGTTGAGCATCTTTTCATGTGCCTCTTGGCCATCTGTATGTCTTCTTGGTGAAATGTCTATTTAGGTCTTCCACCCATTTTTTATTTTAATTGCTTGTTTTTTTGATATTGAGCTCCATTAGCTGTTTGTATATTTTGGAGATTAATCCTTTGTCCATTGTTTCATTTGCAAATATTTTCTCCCATTCTGAGGGTTGTCTTTTTGTCTTGTTTATGCTTTCCTTTTCTGTGCAAAAGCTTTTAAGTTTAATTGGGTCCCATTTATTTATTTTTGTTTTTATTTCCATTACTCTAGAAGGTGGGTCAAAAAAGATCTTGGGCTTCCCTGGTGGCGCAGTGGTTGAGAGTCCGCCTGCCGATGCAGGAGACATGGGTTCGTGTCCCGGTCCGGGAAGATCCCACATGTCGTGGAGCGGCTGGGCCCGTGAGCCTGCGCGTCCGGAGCCTGTGCTCCACAACGGGAGAGGCCACAACAGTGAGAGGCCCGCATACCGCAAAAAAAAAAAAAAAAAATATCTTGCTGTGGTTTATGTCAAAGAGTGTTTTTCCTATGCTTTCCTCTAAGAGTTTTATAGTGTCTGGTCTTATACTTAGGTCTTTAATCCATTTGGAGTTTATTTTTGTGTATGGTGTTAGGTAGTGTTCTAATTTCATTCTTTTACGTGTAGCTGTGCAGTTAAATCTTGCATTTTTAAATAGAGGCATTCTTGGACATTTTCCATAAAAAAATTCTTCCTTGAGCTGTAAAAACTGGCTTAACTGTAACCAATGTACCTAGAGCACTATTCTACAACTTGTGTTACTAAGGGAAAGTAACCAAAGCACAAAATGGCTTGCAACATTTTTATTTCTTGCTTTAAATAACATGGTGCATGCTTGTTACTTTGTAATATTTTTATTAAAGAATGGAAGAAGCCTGACTTCTCAATGACCCAGATGAGAAAAGAAAATACATAATTCTATGTCATCGCTGTTAGTTGTCTCTGTTATTAAAGAAAGAAATCAAATAATTTTTCTTGGGGAAACAGGACCAGGTCTGTCCACAAAAGTTGACTATGGATGGACCTCTTCTTTTCTATTCCTCCTAAGACAGAAGTGTGTTTTCTTCCAATTTCTGAAACAAAAATAAATCTGTGGGCAGGGGATGGAGAAACCAGAGCAGATAATATCTAATTATTACTTCAAAGTATTTCAGGGAAAAGGAAATAGGACTTTATCTTAAAACCTCTTTGAGTAATATCGGTTTCTTGGACTTCTGTGCCCTCCCCTTAATGCCTTATACACAGAAACAATTTAGGTGGCTTCTCAGATGGCGCAGTGGTTGAGAGTCCGCCTGCCGATGCAGGGGACACAGATTCGTGCCCCGGTCCTGGAAGATCCCACATGCCGCGGAGCGGCTGGGCCCGTGAGCCATGGCCGCTGAGCCTGCGCGTCCGGAGCCTGTGCTCCGCAACGGGAGAGGCCACAACAGTGAGAGGCCCGCGTACCGAAAAAAAAAAACAAGAAACAATTTAGATATTGGAAAATGTGCAGGAAAAGAAGGTATATATATATATGGAGAATTTATTATGAGGAATTGGCTCATACAATTATGGAGACTGGGAAGCCCCACCGTCTGCCATCTGCTAGCTGGAGACCCAAGATAGCCAGTGGCGTAATTCAGTCTGAGTCCTAAGGCCTCCAGGGAAAGCAGTGATGTATTGATAAGTCCCAGTCCAAGAGCAGGAAAAGATGAGATGAGATCGCCCAGCTCAAGCAGTAAGGCAAGAAAAAAGGGTGAATTTCTCCTTCTTTTGCCTTCTGTTCTATTCCAGCCCTCAACTGATTGTATCATGCCCACCCACATTGGCCTATTTACTTTATTGAGCCCACCAATTCAAATGTTAATCTTATCTAGATACATCCTCACAGATACACCCAGAAATAATGTTTAATCTGGGCACCGCATAGCTAGTCAAATTGACATTTAAACTAACCACACAGGCACTAATCCCATTCCTGATAGCTCCAGCCTCATGACCTATTTACCTTCCAAAGGTCCCATCTCCAAATACCACCACATTGGGGATT